TTCTCTGGTTGGCCTTTTCTTTCAATTTGGTGACACCAATTGTTGGCAGGTCTGTCTGAACATTATTTCTCCATCGTCTTCTTTGTTTGCCTCGCGGTCTACGACCATTCATCTCCCTTGTGTATACAGTTTTTACTTCTCTGTCATCTGACATTCTTTCAATATGTCCCATCCATTTCAATCTATTGGCTCTACAGATGCCAGTGATCAATGGTGATTTAAACAGATTATGAATTTCGTTATTGCTTCGCCCTTTCCATTTCCCGCTGTTTGCATTTTTGATGGGCCCAAAGATTCCTTGTAAGACTGTTTTCGAAAACTTATTATAAGGCTTCATCTCTTTTAGTTGTGCTCCAAGTTTCAGAGCCATTTAAAACGCCTGGTCTTATCAACGTTTTTTTATATTTTGATCTGCGAGACAGACACTTTGACTTTAGCAGATGTTGAAGGGCATAGTAAACTTTATTTCCAGATTGTATTCTAGATCTCAGACAGGGTAGAGGAATTAAGGACACATCTTTAATATGAGAATAATGTTTTTTAAAGCAGAGAATACAACGTAGATCTTCACGCCTGTTTCATTGATTATAGCAAGGCATTTTATTGTGTCCAATATCAGAAACTGTGGACTGTTATGAGAAATATGGGGTTTCCATCGCATTTAGTGCATTTAATTAAAAATCTTTATCGTAAACAACAAGCAGCCATCAGAGCAGCTGGTGAAACATCGGACTAGTTCGAGGTGCAAAAGGGAGTGAGGCAAGAGTGCATTCTATCACCATACCTATTCAATATATACACAAAGAAGAGGAGGAACACACATCTTGAAAGATCTGAACATCAAGAAAGAGTGGCTAATAGACAGCATCCTTTCTCTGAAGCTGAAATAGTTTGGTCATATCAAACGCCACGACGGATTGCAAAAAAATATAGCAGAGGGCATGGTACCAGGAACGAGGCGCAGGGGCCGACCGACACGAAGATGAACACAGGATATAAGTGACTCCTTGAGTATGAAAGTATATATGGCAGGAGAGCTGGCCAGAGACCGAGTTTCTTTCAGGCAGACTGTGATGAGAGCAATGCTCTTCAAAGGACCTGCTACATGATGATAATGATGATTCTAGATATTATTTCTTCTCTCAGCATGGTGGAGCAGTTAAAGTTTGCACCCAAGTACTTATATGTTTCCGTTAGTTTGATTTTTCATATTATCGACTTGTATGTGGCCGGAGCTTATATCATTTCCCTGTCTAGCTATTATCATGTATTCTGTCTTATCTTGATTGATAAAAAGTCGCATTTTCTGAGCTGGTATTTTTAAGAGAATCAGTGTTTTAACAGTCTCTACTAATTTTCTCCAACAATATCAATGTCATATGCATACCCAAGTATTCTTGTAGATTCTCCTATAGTACACTCTTGTTTCAATTTAATTATAATTTTCTGCATGGTCAAGTTGAAAAGAAATGGGGACAGGTCATCACTTTGCTTTAAACCAGATGTTATTTAAAAATGATCTGCCTTTGTATATTATTATATTACAAGTTTATTCCATACATAGTTTGGTCGTGGTAATTAACTTCTTTAGTTTTCCAAAGTGCTTAGACCTGTCTGCTGTCTAAGTCAAATTACCCAACAAGGCAAGTGAGACACTCTGAAAGATCGGACCTGCAAATCCTGCTGCTTTACCCAGCAGAGGCCCTTGGGCCTCGTTAGCGCAGTCGATAAGAGGCTCGCTTTCAAATCCAGCTGCGATCGCTGCAGCCACGGTCGGTGTTCGAAACCTGGCGGCTCCCGGGGTTCATCGAAATGGGTACCAAAGTTGACACTCTGGGGTAAATGGAGGAACGTCGCTGAGCCACAGAGTTAGTGCGGACGGCGACACAGGCGGACAATTCTTATCATCTGTCCGTACTGGTGGCAGAGCACTTATGGTTTATAACAGTGTGCAATGACGCTAGTTCACATCTCCCGACTTTACCTTTACCTTTACCTGAACTTCATAGACATTTAATTAACGGCGATGAATGACATACTTTAGTCATAGGCAGCAGTAGTATTATTTCAGGATCCGAACTGTTTTCGAGAAACTTCTTCCATGTCCATGCCAGGATGGCATCCTCTGATCTGTTTGTACGGTTAGGGTCGTCCTGAGGAGGGAGAATAAGTTAGCAGACGTCAGATGCATAATGGTGTAGAAATTGTATGAAGCGAGATTTAGTGGATGCTGCGACGTGTGGTAAAGGTTCTGGTATGTGTGGTGGAGGTTGTGGTATGTATGGTGGAGGTTGTGGCATGTGTGGTGGTGGATATAGCCTGTAGATAGATGGACTCTGTGGTATGTATGTAAGTAGACAAGTAGGTAGGTACTTAGATAGGGATAAGGATTGTTTGGTAAGTATGTATGAAGCCAAGTAGACATTGGGTAGGTACGTATGTCGATAGAAGTATTGTTTGGTAAGTAGATGTGTGGGCAAGTAGAAAGGTAGTTAGTTACATAGGCAGATAAAAGGATTGTTTGGGAAGTAGATTATGTAGGCAAGTAGATAGGTAGTTCGGTTGGGTAGACATAAGTATTGTTTGGTTAGTAGAAATGTTGTTTTGTAAAAATGTAGCTTGGAAAGTAGGTATAAAGAAGGATTGTTTGGTAAGGAGGTAAGATAGAAGGATCCTTTAATAAGTATATGTGCAGACAGACAAACAGATAGATATGATTTAATTACCCGGAATACAATTGGCTGGTTGGGGATCTGTTTGATTACTGCCACCACGGACCCCGTTTTCCTGGCAATCAGACTTGCTCGGTTGATTTCTGTGTCTGTCGTGTCTGCCAGTCTGAGACACAATAAGGAGCATTGACAATCTTAGGTATACGTCTCCAAACAACGTCAGTAAAACGCTACCCCACGAAGAAAATAGAGGGGGGGGGGGCTTCAAGAGTCTAAAGCATTTTTTATTGTGAGCTGAAAAACAAATAAATTATATAATGTAATTGAAATGATATGAAATGAATTAATGCATGCTTAATAAAAGGACGTCTGTGTGTGCTGAGAAAGGAGGCTTCTCCATGAGAGATTTGGGGAGAGGCGCCTCCGGGTTCTTGCGCCTTTTATGTTAGTCTTCGTCAAAATGAGCACACTTTGACAATCTAGGACGTAGAAATGTACATACATTGGCAATTTAGACACGGATTTAGAAAAAGGAAATTCTTATCTGAGCTTTCAACAGGCGAATTTTACTATATAAAACCTTAGCACTATTTGCAGTGTCAATGGATCTATAGAATATAGCCCAAATCGCCTGAGTGCGTGGAAAATTGTTCTTTACTTTAATTTTAACACTATTTGAAAGAAGAATCTCATTCACACAAAGTTATGAATGAACTAAAACTATCACAGGCCTCATCATTTTTGACCACATCTACATTTTATGTGTATATGTTAAACATGGATTGAAAAAGAATACACGGTCTTACGTCCTTTTTACACCAGGCATCTTGTTCATGAGACAGTGTTTTAGTTAAGTGAATTCAATGCATCGATAACTCGACTAATGGGGTAAACAGAAGACGTGCTTGGTTAGTCATAGCACCGCGCCTCTGAATAGAAATCTATAAAAATAGAACAATTATCTAGCACAGTAATTCCAAAACTTTTATCAGTCGCGAAAATTAAAATTTTTCCACGGCGCCCTAATCTAAGCAAAAGTATGACTATTCGTATGTAAAATATTTTTTTTTTTACTGTATCTTCGAATATTTCGCAGCGCCCCTGTGAAGAGGTCGCGGCTACCCGGGGCGCCGCGGCGCACAGTTTGGGAATCACTGATCTAGCAACCAAACGTGTAAATAACAACTTATCTAGAACTGAACACGCATATAACAATCGGCTGTTCTAACTGCAAATCTTCAAACAGACAGAACAATCTCACTTGTCAGAGTTATATCCGGAGCCGATGATGATAAAGGCGGTGTCTGGGTGGACCACGTTGGTGGGCACGGAAATAAACAAATGATGGAACCAGATGGGGTTTGTTGTCAACTGATCTGTAGAGGCAAATAAAGCATGTTAGTGGAGACAAAAACACTGATACGGTACCACAGATTATACACTTCGCCGACACAGAAGCGCCAATCATCATCATTTTGTTGACGCCGTTTGGGCTCGTTTCCTCCATTCCGCCCCATCGTGTACAGTTATTTACATATCACGGATGGAGTCCAGTCCGGGGGAGAGGGTGATTCCACTACACAAATGGGGGTAGACAGTAGATGTGTATAGATGTTTCTGATTTAGTCACGTATTCATCCTTTTGTGTTGAATTCAATGATATATAACAACCTATCCAACTATTACACTTCAGGCGAACTGGACATATAGGGCTAGATTTGTACTTTATTGACTAGTTGGCATTCTGTGAAGATGTCGTCACATACATATATACGTGTGTGCGTGTATATATATATATATGTATATATATATATATATATAGGTAGGGGGAGGGGGTATTTATATCTGTTTTAGGCCAAATGGCACCAATTTTGAAATGCAAGCATGTAAATATAAACACTGAACAAAAAAACTAATCAACACAATATTCATATCTTATAGCAATATAATATGAATAAAACACAATTTGCATCTTGTCAAGAAAACTAGTCTGCAATATAGTGAACTCACCACTTTTCCATTTCTGGGAGGTCAGATTGAGAGCGTGCACTGTGACCCCTGGAATAGCGTAAGTTGTCAGAAACTTGTAGTTGTAGTGAGGATCCGGAGTGTTGACGTAATCATCCAGGGCGTTGGAGCTCACGCAGGATACCGTGGCCAGAGCTACAAAACTTACCACCAGCGGAGACAGCGACATCTTTCGGTAACAACAGCCGCTAGGGAAACATCCAAACATTACTTGCTGTATCCTGATTATTTTCCCTGCTTATGTAACGGGCTGACTAATTTTTAATAACAGTCGTATGATGCCGTAATATGAGGCCAGTTTTAGTTGTCGGTTATGTTTAGCGTACTTTCTTTCAACAAAAATACGCTAATATAAATAATAATGGTGAATCTATGCGGCAAATATGATTACAAGACTTCGGAATAAAGCAAGGTGAAGCAACTGTGTGCTGTCTTCAAGATCAAGGAGACATTGTAACCAGCTTCTGATGGGAATAATCACTAGATGTATTTGGGATGGCTGCTGCATGGAATTCCAAATAGAAAGTGAGGTCGACTGTGATTAACATAGCAGCGATATAAATCTTGACAACCCCTTTACAACCCGCTGATTACGTCCTATCTAGGCAACATTTTTTAATATCTCATGTCTGATTTGTTTTCTTTTGTCCTATTGCTTATACCGTAAAACGTTACAAAGAGGAGTTAGATGTCGTTTCCTGTCCTTTGCTGGTTGGCCTTCTCTTTCCAGTTGGTGACACCAAATGTTTGCAGTTCTGTCTGGACATTATCTCTCCGTCGTCTTCTTTTTCTGCCTAGCGGTCTACGACCATTCATCTCCTTTGGGTATACAGTTTTTACTTCTCTGTCATCTGACATTCTTTCAATATGATCCAACCATTTCAGTCTATTGGCTCTCTAGATGCCAGTGATCAGTAGTGATTTAAACAGATTATGAATGTCGTTATTGCTTCACCCTTTCCATTCCACGCAAAAGGGAGTGAGGCAAGAGTGCATTTTCTCAGCATACCTATTCAATCTATACGCAAAGAAGAGGAAAAACACTGACATCTTAAAAGATCTTAACATCAAGGAAGACTGGCTAATAGACAGCATCCTGTCTTGGAATGTGAAATATTTTCCTAGTTGCGAAGCTTGTGTTAATGTTATACTGCATTTCTGTAATCTTTTACTGCCTCCGCCCATGTCTCTCTTGATGGCTTCGTGAGTTGTGGTCAGAAGCGTAGCAAGAGGGGTGGTCAGGGTGCGGGCCGCTCTGGGTGTCATCGCTGAAGGGGCGACAAAACACTTTGCTTTTAACCACGTCCAACTCGGGCTAATACGTGCTTTTAATACTTTCAAATGTGTGTGTGTGTGTGTGTGTGTGAGGTAACCGGAAAAGTGTACGCACCTGGTACAACTTGACCTTGAACCTCCTCTGGGGGCGACAGGAAATATTCTGCACAGGCTACCGTCTGACCTTGCCATGCCACTGTTTGTAGCCTGCTGGGTGCTTTCTTTTTTAGCCGACCACAGATGACGTCACAGGACAGTACAGTATTTTAGAGGGTGGTGAGAGCGGGTTTTCCTTGGTTTCTGTGCTTTAGAGTGTTTCTTCCAATGCCAAGGTTTTCGCGCGCTTACCTTACCCGAACCCTAACCAAAACTATGCGCTTGATCTACCACTTCCTGAAATACTTGACAGTTCCGTGACCTGTGGATTTTCCTTGTTTGTGGTCAGCTAAAAAGAACGTACCGCCTCTTGTTCTCATGTAGTACGCTCTAGCTGCTAGCGGATTTTTTCCCATTCTGACCAAATGACCAAACCATTTTATTCTTTGATGCTCTATGAAATCATTGACTGGTACTGTGCTGACTGATCGACTGGTACTGTGCTGACTGATTGACTGGTACTGTGCTGACTGATTGACTGGTACTGTGCTGACTGATTGACTGGTACTGTGCTGACTGATTGACTGGTACTGTGCTGACTGATTGACTGGTACTGTGCTGACTGATTGACTGGTACTGTGCTGACTGATTGACTGGTACTGTGCTGACTGATTGACTGGTACTGTGCTGACTGATTGACTGTTACTGTGCTGACTGGTACTGTGCTGACTGATTGACTGGTACTGTGCTGACTGATTGACTGGTACTGTGCTGACTGATTGACTGGTACTGTGCTGACTGATTGACTGGTACTGTGCTGACTGATTGACTGGTACTGTGCTGACTGATTGACTGACTTTTTTTTTCTACCCCACATAGACATCACACAAACGATAAACACCAGGTGACACAAAGTGCCACCACGCGGATGAGGTTCACCCGTGGAGAGGTCACAGAAACCCCTTTTAGCCGTTAGGCCATATCTATGGCTAGGCCATATCTATGCCATGGCTATATTCAGGGTCCCCTCTACAGAAGCCAGAGTGGGGCTTCGAATAACGAAAAATTGCATCCCACGTGGGAATGATTGATATAAATATATATTGGGCTTACTATTGTTCTTTGCTGTTGAGTCTGTCTTTTCTTATTTATTTTTTTCCGCCTAATTTCTTATGCATCCCATCTCACATGTTGTAACTGTGCGCTTATGTTGTTCTGGGACTGTCCATGTCTGGCACTGATAACACATAGCTGGTACGCATAGCTCGTTTATCAGCTACATTGTGTGTGTGTACTTGTTTATGTTTTAATGCCTCAAAAGTGGAGTTATTTGGTAATTTATTTTGTTGGCCTTCTGTATTCTGTTTTAAATTCTCTATCTAATCCTTACCCTCTATGAATATATTGCCTAGCTACTTAAATACATTACCTTGTTTTAAGGTCTCTCCTTCAACAGCGATGCCATGTTAAACTGATGATCTGTTAACCAGCAATTACTAATGGGTTTTTATTTCTTCTTCTTCGGTATTTATGTTTCTATTTCCTGCAGCAGATGTTGTTTATGTGGGGCATGATCGTCAGCATATATCAGCTTGGTGTCAGATGTATGATAGCTGGAATAATGTGTCCCTTTGTGTAGTAATATTCCCTAGATGAAATATTCAGTTCATCAATAACGTTTTGTTGCACACAATTCCCGACACAATGGGGACTGTTTAACATGAAGTGGTCGGTTATCCGTGGTCTAGCCGCTGTATCTCGAGAAGTGAGACGGGTCTTGTAATTTACTTTCCCCGATGAGGTTTATGGGCCACGTTGTGGGAGCAGGAGCGGGGTCAGTGCCCCTGACAAGCATTTCGTAAAAGTGTTTTAACTGGGCATGTGTCTGAGTGCATGAGTGTTGAGAAACCAACAGTCTGCATACAAATAAGTCTGACATGTACAACGGACGTTGGTGCAAGACTGAAGTTCCGCACTCTCCACCGGACTTTACAGCAAGTGAACGCGAAGAAAAAGGAGTACCCTACTTACTGTACATAACTAAAACTACGCCACCTATCAACTGGACTAAGAAGAAGATAAAGAAAGAAAGAAAGAAAGAAAGAAAGAAAGAAAGAAAGAAAGAAAGAAAGAAAGAAAGAAAGAAAGAAAGAAAGAAAGAAAGAAAGAAAGAAAGAAAGAAAGAAAGAAAGAAAGAAAGAAAGAAAGAAAGAAAGAAAGAAATTTACAAACAATGAAGCTTGAGCCATGTTTCGATAGTTACCGTGTGGATCAATCCTTTCTCAGTTTGGCCAGAATGTGATCGGGTGGGCCAGTCTCCGGCATTAAGTACCAGACAGGCTTTGCCCAGTCAGCAGATAGATTCCTACGTATTATTTCAAAAGAGAATCGTGACCGTAATTTGTGGGTAGATACCCTCTCATACACCCAAACATAGACACCCTCACATAGATTTACACACACACACACACACACACACACACACACACACATAAAAAGTAACACCCCCACCCCCTCCCCCTCCAACCACCACGCACGCACTCATAGAGAAACAGTGCTTCTCAGTATTGTGAGAGTAGCAGCCACTGTGTGAAGATCCAAACTGTAGAAATTTGAAACACTTATAACATTACCTTCTTCTTCTCCTCCTCCTCCTCCTCTTTTTTCTCCTCCTCCTCCTAATGTTTTTTTTTTTCATCCTCGTCCTTCTCCTTCATCCTTTCGAATTTGAAACAAAAAAATCCGTTCTGTAATCAGTGACTGTCGCGCCCCCTGTCGCGCGTCCTGCCACGCCCCCTACCGCGCACCCTGTCGCGCGCCCCTGTTGCGTCGCGACTGGTCTCTTTAAAATATAACTACTAGCATCATGTGCTCAGCAAGTCTCGAAATGTGAAGGTGGTCTTTAACTTCTTATATTTTTACGTTGGCAGTGAATCGCCAAATGTGACTTACTTACTTACTGACTTAGTCGCTCCTCCTCTACAGTGGGGTGTAGAGGTTTGCAAGAGAGATCGCCAGACTTCTCTATCAGCAGTTTTCTTTCTAGCTTTGTTTCATTCCAGTCCTCTGTCAGTTAGGGACTGTCGGCTGTTGTCTTCACAGCGGACCCTGGGTCGCCCTGGAGGTCTTGTTCCTTGGTTCTTAGCCTCCCATGCCTGCCATGGTGGCCGATTTTCTCCCATTCTGCATACATGTCCAAACCATTGTAACTGTGACTGATCCACTCGGGTTTGTAAGGACTGGGTATCAAGATCTTGACGCATTGTCTGATTGTGAACTTTTCCCGTCTTGTCACTTGGACCATCTTTCTCAGAGATCTCATCTCTGTGGCCTGAAGCTGGCTTCTGTGAGCTGTCAGATGTGACCAGAAAGTTAAATACTCAGAGAATATGTGAGAATCCTCAGCATCATCATGTAGCAGGTACTTGCCAGAACGTCGCTCTCATCACAGTCTGCTGAAAGAAACTCGGTCTCTCGTCAGCTCTCCCGTCGCATGTACTTTCAACTACTCAACGAGTCACTTATATTCTGTGCCCATCTTCGTGTCGGTCGACCCCTGCCCCTTCTTCCTGGTACCATGACATCTGCTATAATTTTTTCCAATCCGTCGTGGCGCTTGAAGTTACCAAAATATGTCAGCTTTCGAGACAGGATGCTGTTTATTAGCCAATTTACCTTGATGTTCATATCTGTTAAAATGCCAGTATTATTTGAGAACCACTGGTCTGAAAAAATCCGTTTCAGCCTTCCCGCCATTTTACGATCTTAGACCCCACGCAGACTGTCCTTGAAAAGTCTTCTAAGTCAAATGAAGTGCAGGAAAATGGATCACTAGGTCCGACTTCAGTCTTGCAGTACTTTTATCTGTAAAAATGATTTATTGATAAGTGTTTGTTTCCTGGCTTAGTTTCCCTCCAAATAAAACATCGAGCTGCATTACAACTTACTGCAAAAAAATGCCTGCATAATCAGTATGTACCGATGGATTGGGAGTCGCCGTGGCGGAGCGGCTAGACGCTCTCAGTGGGATCGGAAGGTTGTGGGTTCGCTCCCTGGCACAGCTGGACTTATTTTTTTAAGAAATGACCTTGGCTCCCAGGTCGACCCAGCCTTGAGTGCGTACCGGGTGCAGTCCCGGGAAGTAAAGGCGGCAGGCGTGATGCTGATCACATCACCCGTCTTGTGCCGATAGGTTAATAAAAAATATAGGTCTAGTCCTATATGCCTAAAGGCGTGGAAAATGGTCCTTTACTTTTTTTTTTTTTACTTACCAATTGATTCTCTTGCATTGGCTAAGCTTTTGTCAAATGTTCTTTGTTCTGATGGCATTCTGTTTTAATTATGGAGGCGTGTGCTTGTGTGTCAAATCGGTGTTTCCGTGTTTTAATCCTCAAAAGGGAAAACAGGGACGCTGAAAACGGTTCTGGAATGCAAACGTGCTGGAACCGTATGGTGCACTAGGAACAGGGCTCTCTTGTTCTCTTTGTCGAGAGAATCAATGTTCCATATGCATCCAATCGTCCTTTCTCGAAGGGCATTAACAATGTCGTTGCGATGCATAGGTTGGCCAGCTGCAACTGTGGCAGATCCAGTTAATCTGTCCGCTCTTTCATTGTTAGCAACACTCGGATTCCTAATGATCAATATGTGTGTATACCAGAGCACATAGGCTATAATCTCTCTTCACCCCCCCCCCCCCTCACCTCTTTCTTTCTCGCTTCCTCTCTCTCTCTCTCTCTCTCTCTCTCTCTCTCTCTCTCTCTCTCTCTCTCTCTCTCTCTCGTGCGTTTGCATGTATGTCTCACAATTTTGAAATCCGCCGGTTCAGCAACCCATTCGATCTACTCTAGTCAATTTATAACCGCTGATGGATTTTTTAATGTGTGCGGACCTCGTTTATCACCCTTGTCCTACAAGGTTAGACGCACAACCACTACTACGGGATGAGCAAAAAGTTACATTATATTTTAAACTGGCAACTGGGTGGAAAGAGAGAAGGGAAAAGATAAAGGGATCTTCTTCTTTGTTCGCCGGCTGTAAGCTCCGGCGGAAACTTCTGGTTGTTCGTCCATTAGGACTGTGGCTTTGTACCAGGGGCTTAGTACTGCTTGTACATCCGTTTGACTGGCTTAGTTGTGTGCAGTTGGTTATTCCTTGCCGCTCGGGCTGATGCACTCCAACTTCAAAATATTCGCCAATAAGTCGACGCCTACGACAAGCGTGTTGGGGATGCGGTGGGTCTATTCTTGTTTTCCCCCACAATGGGACCCCAGAACCCACACGAGGAAGGTAAAGGGATAAATACCTGGATTACTTGGTCCTATGGTCTGGTTGGGTTTTTTAACGCGCAGAGGGACAATTAGGAGGACTTTAAATCATGTTTCAACCAAAACCGCCACCCCCTGAAGTATTCGTTTGCTGCTTGGCAAAGGGTATGGAACACTAATGGAATAACCCGAGTGCAGAGATGACAATTCTTGATTTATGATTCACTGTCGGCAGGGGGCTGCATGGTGGCCGCTTCGAGTGCTAGAGGTCACCGGTTCAAACCCCGGTAAAGGCTGGGAATTTTTTAAGTGGACTTCTAGTAATTTTCCCTGGTCTCTGGGTAGTGAGATCGGACACCCGTGTATATTTTTGCTCATGTAAAAAAAAATCCCTTGGCAGCTGGAAATCGAAAAGAGTAGCCTAACATCGCTGCCTGTGCAAAATTTGGACTTAAAAATCTACCCAAAATATTTAAGGAACCTCACCGGCGCTACAGAGCCCGTACATCGCGCTAAGCTAGTTCGGACTTGAGTTAGAAGTAGAACAGAGCACTTATTGGTTACTACCCTTATGCCATGATGTTGATCCATTGTTCAAACCTCAAACCTCACTGTGGCCGTGTGTGAGATGGCCAACCCTAACCACTTACGCTTTTTTAAATACCCAGTAAAGGCCGCGAGGTCATAGCCGGAGGGGGATTCCATAATCTTTGATCTACTTCGCCAGCTAACCCAAATCTCTTATCTGTTTCTCAACAATGGCGGGAAAATCAATCTTCAACTCTTTCAGCAGCAATTAACAGCCACGGTTAGACCAGTAGTCTCCAATCTGCCCCCCCCCCCCCCCCGGGATAGAACTCACCAGAACATGGCAAGCAAGCTCCATAAGACCCACCTGCCCCCGATTTTGAGAACATGGTAAGGATCCCCCATCCCTTTTTTGAGTTAATGACAAGAATATCTACGCCGATCCCCTCTCCTCCCTTCAGGGCCACATACAAAATTTGATTAAAAAGAAGATGACAGAAAAAAAAATCCCAAGTACTGATAACATGAACTTGTGTTGCGTATCCTTCACAGAACGTTGCAGAATCAACTCCGGTTTGTGTGTGTGCGTGTGTGTGTGTATTTTGTTTCGTGTGAGTGGCTGTTTTAATTTTCCTAGGTAAATTTACGTTCACTAGTTTGCCAATGCTTCCAGATAGAAAACCACTGTCGAAAACCAACACGAGACGGTCTACTGCCAAATCGCCTGCAGCTGGGATCGAACCCCGGCGTTACGAAGCGCGTTAGCAACACCTTGACTACAGATACCGACACTTGCTGGAAAAACACACAATTCAAAGTGTCAAATAACAAAAGACACAGCTACTGGTAGTTTAGTGTCTAAATATCAGTTTTATGACTGATACTGCTTTGTCCTGGTGATATCTGAATCTGCTATTTTTTTAAGCAGAACATAGATCAGTCTCCACATCAAGCTGGCAGTGCTATTTTGGTTTCATAGCTTTTAAAGCTGAAATCCGGATTAGGTAAATTTTACGCTGGTCTCCCCATTTACACACACGCTTCACACTAACTCGCTTCTGACTGGACGACCTACTGATCCCCTTACTTCTGATAGGTAGCCCTCAAGCGATCCTACTTTCACACAGGGTCACGGGGATATTCCGCACTCGCACCCCGTGTTGTATATTTCACCATGCCAGAGCTTTTAACACTTCTAAAACATTTAGATACTGGGTCTAACACACAATCCCCCTAGAGAGTGACACAACCTATGTCACAGGCTGTTTCTTTCTCAGAAGGAAAAAACGTAAATGCCAGACAACAACAGACTGCGACACCTATAACCTCGACCACGGTAGACTATTCCAACCAACTTATCAATAAAGTTGACCTACAACCAGTGATGTGTAAATGATGGGGAGACCATCGTAAAAATAACCCCGGATTATTATAGGTACAGATGCCCTCAATTTCAAAATCGCTTGATGCCCCCATGAACTTCCTCACCCCCCCCCCCCCCCCCCCCCCCCACCACGGTCTGGAGACCACTACGCTAGACAGGTCATTTACCGATCTGTTCCAGGTTCAATTCTGTACGGAGGCGGATTTTTCCCCCCTCAAAACGGACTTTGGCTCCAAGGTCGATCCAGCCTAAACTGAGAGCCAAGTAATATCCTGGGAAGTAAAAGCAGCTGGCATGATGTTGTCCACAGCTCCCATAGCGTGTCGATTGGTCTATAAAATATATGTTGTTTGGTGGCTAAGGTCACTTTTAAAGGAAAACAAAAACGATGAAGTTTCAAACCCAAGACCTTTAGGGATATATAGGCAAGCATCTAGCCACTGCGTCACAATGGCTCTCTGGGACCCTATGTTTACAGGATAACATAATCAATTTATGACTTACCTATGTTTATTATTTGGAAGGAAAAAAAACACTTTATGCTATAAGTTGGACTCTGGAATCCACAATGATTTAATAAATGCAACAACTAAAAACTGAAAACACAAAATTATGTAGAACATAATAAAGCATTTATTAAATGAGAACATTCCATACAAGTTGTCGAAAACACTCAATATATTTCTATGTACTGTATGTATATTATATTTATAATACTACTACACATCTGATGAGAAAACCACAAGATCAAATAGCAGACTACCCAAGATGAAGTTTGAGAATCACTGAACAGCTGACAATTTACAGACAAGAATCACAGCAGACTTCAAAGACTCAAGCTGACACAGGAAAAAAAAAAACTAATCACCCACTATCCATGTACTCTGTTTATAAATCTCTGGACAAGTGAGAGTTTATACCTGCCCTCAACAATGTGCTGTTGGTTCATTCATCTTCGGACAAGGTCACAGTTACAGGACTGTATAAACGACTATCTCAGTTATGGAATGTTGGTGGGAACATTCACAATTATATAAATGTAAACCTAGCACAGCTCAAACCACACAACTGCCCAGTTTGAGAACAGCTGCTGAAGTTCATAGTGTATAATTAAATGAAATCCCCCCCCCCCCCTGGCCACACCCCCAAACCCCATCCATTTATATGATAATCAACCAGTATTTCTGAAGGGATATGACCCGATGATAGGCCTACTTAACAGAGTACACTGAGTAGAGCTGACCCACTGGACTCTCTCAGTATTTTAGGGTTACAAAATTCAAACAGTGACAGACTGATCACAGACTTCTACTACTGGAACCCTCATAAAGCCGTAGATATAAACAGCAGCACAACCTAATACAACAATCAGAGTTCTTTATGATAATACAGTTCACACAAAAGACTATAGTAGATAGTGATTTCACAATATCCATGTACATATACAATCAAACAAACAAAACCAGCGAGTCTTTTTGACTTCCAGCCAACAAGCTGGCTTCTACTCCACTATAGGGCCACAATTCAGACTGCAAGTTCATTCAATTCGCTTTAAATTATAATTTTATTTAATGACGGTTTAACTTATCAATTCACTCAATGACGGTTTTATTTATTTTACTCATTAATCACCTTTTTTTTTCCCCCCGAATGATGGTTTAACACCAATTCACTCATTGATGGTGTAACTTATCATTCCATTCACTTTTGGTTTCAGTTATTGCATTCAATGATGGCTTAGCTTTCACCATTTTACTCAATGATTTCATTTGTCACCATTTCACTCACTAATGGTCTTCACATCACCATCTGACTAAATAATCTTTTAACTTATCACCATTTCACTGAATGCTGGTTTTGCCATATCACTATTTGATTCTCTATACTTTTCACTTATCACCATTTCGCTGAATGCTGGTTTTGCCATATCACTATTTGATTCTCTATACTTTTCCCTTATCACTATTTCCCTTGAAAGCAAACACAACGTTAAGAAAGTGCAAATCAACTTTGACAGAATAAAAGAAATCCACTGCAACTGAGTAGATTTCCTGCAACAATTCTGATTACATGACACCATAAGCTTCAACAAACAAACATGCACAAAACATGCAAACACTTTATAGCTAATGAACGAGCATATGGTGAAAAATTTCCTGCATGTTCTTGGAGATATTTAATAATACATGAATTTCTACACCGAAAAACTGAGTTTATTCTGTTGTACCCAATGCCTGTGTTGTGGCGATCAATTCAGTAGAGTGTTGCTTCTACAATAAAGATTGCTTTAAATGTAACTCCAGTTCGTCTCTTGCCCTGGCTGTAATCAGGCTGCTGTTCCAATCCTTTATGATGACATTCTGCCACTTTAATCACTGTCTACCTCTGGCTTACCTGGCTTAACTTCTCCTCCGAGCATTGTTTCTTCAGATAACAGTGTACTGGTTATGTTTTAAGTGTGGTGATTCATTAGTCTCTCTTACATTTCTGTCAACAGTTTTCATCTGCAGGCTCTCCAGAAGTTATGTATTAACTATCTTTCAGATACCAGAACTATACTTTGGGCTTCCATGATTGGTTGAGATTCGGTGATCAAGAGGTCCATATCTACCCTGAATTATCATTGATTGTTCTTATTCCCACCTATCTGGCAATAACATCAGTTACTCTTAGACATCATCGAACATTAACATCAGTTACTCTTAGACATCATCAAACAATAACATCAGTTACTCTTAGACATCATCAAACAATAACATCAGTTACTCTTAGACATCATCGAACAAAAACATCAGTTACTCTTACACACCATCGAACAAAAACATCAGTTACTCTTACACACCATCAGTTACTCTTACACACCATCAAACAATAACATCAGTTACTCTTAGACAAACAATCATCAGAACAAATCAACATACATCAGTTACTCTTACACACACCATCATCAACAATAACATCATGTTACTCTTACACACCATCAAACATTAACATCAGTTACTCTTACACACCATCAAACAATAACATCAGTTACTTTTACACACCATCAAACAATAACATCAGTTACTCTTACACACCATCAAACAATAACATCAGTTACTCTTACACACTATCAAACAATAACATCAGTTACTCTTACACACCATCAAACAATAACATCAGTTACTCTTACACACCATCAAACAATAACATCAGTTACTCTTACACACCATCAAACAATAACATCAGTTACTCTTACACACCATCAAACAATAACATCAGTTACTTTACACACAAACATCAAACAATAACATCAGTTACATCAGTTACACACCTATCAAACAATAACACTCACACACTTCAAACATAACATCACTCTTACACCATCAAACAATAACATCAGTTACTTTTATCACACATCATCAACACAATAAACAATCATCAGTTACTCTTACACACACCATCAAACAATCAACATCAGTTACTCTTACACACCATCAAACAATAACATCAGTTACTTTTACACACCATCAAACAATAACATCAGTTACTCTTACACACCATCAAACAATAACATCAGTTACTTTTACACACCATCAAACAATAACATCAGTTACTCTTACACACCATCAAACAATAACATCAGTTACTTTTACACACCATCAAACAATAACATCAGTTACTTATACACACCATCAAACAATAACATCAGTTACTCTTACACACCATCAAACAATAACATCAGTTACTTTTACACACCATCAAACAATAACATCAGTTACTCTTACACACCATCAAACAATAACATCAGTTACTCTTACACACCATCAAACAATAACATCAGTTACTCTTACACACCATCAAACAATAACATCAGTTACTCTTACACACCATCAAACATTATTTTGCAATCATCATCATGAGACACACTGATAACCATTGGCAATCACAGTTCGTCAGATCACACAGTCAGGAGTCACAGATCAGGTCTGTGATCTTGTTCTGATGAAGATGTTTAGCAAGGCATTTCACCTGTCTTCAATGTTGAAGTGAAGTAAAGGACCCTTTATACCACTTTGGTGCATCAGGCATACAGTGGTAGACCTATATTTGTACAGCTCACTCGGCACTCGATGGGTGATATAACAGGCTGGCTGCCATTACTTTCCGGACATTGACACTGAGCCCAAGCAAAATGTCCACCCTAAAATCTCTTATCTTACTTTGCCTGGATGATGATACAAACAACCTTTACAACAGGCATGGACCATTACCACAGACATGGATGCCTCTAGTGCTGTCCCTACTCATGATCTGAAACCTCAGCAAGTGTATCTACTCACAATGCATCTAAAAATGTTAGCCAAGGTATCTCTTTCCAGACATCGCAAGCCAACCCCAGCAATTCTTGGACTCTTGTCTGGTTCTAATTGTCAGTCAGCAGGTCCTGTACAGACCGTCACTGTTGTCATAGGAAGCCAGCAAGTCTTTCTTTCTTTGGCCAATTCTATGGCCCTTCGTGCTTTCATAGCTAATACACCTTCAGTGTCTTGTATCCACCTTCACTAAGGTCTGTGCATAGATGACTTGCCTCACTATCAAATCTGTGAGATTCTTGTCCAGCTTCCGTTGAGAGTTTTTAGGTATAAATAATGTTGTGGTCTCTGCTTGCGTTTCCCATCCCCATGACTGAGCACCTACACCTTTAGCGATCTCTTAGACTGCCAGAAAAACTAAGTTCCCTCCTCTGTCGTGCTGTTATCTGGTTCTACAATGCAATTTTACATTCAGTAGTTTGCCACTGCTTCTAAACAGTATGGTGCTCATACTACTGGTTTTAGCACGAGTTGGCTGAGGATATATGCTCCACTAGGAGAGGAAAGGCAGAAAACAGAGAAACAAACAAAACTATAAGGTGCTTCGACAACCCAGGGTAAAAGAAGAAAGACTATGCATGAGTGTTAAATGTACAATTCTTGATGATTCAGTAATACATGAATCAATACATGATCAATAATTCAGACAATATCATCAGCAGAATGTGATGTCATCCCCTCCTCTTTTCTCTTCTTCCTCCTGATCCCTGCTCCAAAAGCTTCCCGAGCTTCATGTCAATAATCAACCAAAAAATCCATATCCTACATGGTACCTACACAATAGCATGTTAGAGAACACTACAGGTGGACACAAACAAGGGACAAGGTTAGAGACAGTTAGGTAAAGCTGCACTTAAATACAGAGACAAGACAATGTTACATAAGGGTCATTAATATGTCTAGGAAAAACTACATATGACAACAGACAACATTACAGCAAGGTTACTGATATGGCTTCATAAAACTACACATAAATACAGACAAGAGACAATGTTACAGCAAGGTTACTGATACGGCTTTATAAAACTACATATGAATACAGACAAGAGACAATGTTACAGCAAGGTTACTGATATGGCTTTACAAAATTACACATGAATACAGACAAGAGACAATTTTATATGAAGGTCACTAATATTACATTGACAAAAAAAATGTAGACACGAATACACAGAAAATAGACAAGGCTACTGAACTGAAATGGCTTTGTATATCTACAGACAAATACAGAGAAGAGACAATGGTACGCAAAGGTCACTAATATTGATAGGAAAAATGACACAAGAATACTTATC